GGGGGGCAGGTGGTTTTATGAAGTGGAGATGTAGTGGCACTACCTTGGGCCGCGAGGCTCTGTTTAAATCAGAGCCCTGATGGTGCCAGAATCCTCTCTATGGCCTATATGCCCCCCCCCTCCCCTGTTTAGAATTAATCCACACGGCCACCACTCTCCCTCTAAGCTCATTCTTTAGCACCTAAATTTAAAAAGGCACCTCATTTATCTATCAGCCAGCCCCGGGGCCAAGCCTGGATATACACCTCCTCGACCGTATGCAGGGAGTGCGTCCTTGAGTGTGTGAGTGTTTTAGAGAGCGTGTCCGCATGTGAGAGCGCGTGACTGAGAGGCTGGAAGTGAGTGTTCTTTAAACTCTGAGTGCAGCTCCTGCTCATGCACACACACACGCCGGACACGAGTACCAGCCCCTCGCTATCATGACACTTCATCACCGCCGCACATCCTTCTGCTCGCAGCGCGGCAATAACAATTACCCGACGTGGAGTCCCAACTCTACGTCCATCTGCTGCGGGAAGACACGCATTCACACGCAGAGGTATTGGAAATCAAACACACTGTATTGGACAGGCAGTGTGTAAATGCTCGACTCGCGTTGCGGTGTTTCGATGCTGCAACAGTTCATAACCTCTGTGTTTTATAAACCATCAAAAATGGATGGAAAAAGGCAGCTTTGAAGAGGGTTTCTGCAGGATTTTCTCGCACAGTGTGAATACTCTGTGAACAGATGCTGTGCATGCAGATACAGTCATCATCCCACAAGTCCTAATTTATGCATCTTACTCCACCTACAGTAGGAAGTCTTTGGAATACAGGGCAGAATTATACCATGGATTATAGATGCAAAGACAGACACAATTCTACTACTCCTCCATGAGTAGAATATCCACAGCAGGTGTTCCTAGTCTTGATGTCGAGATTCTGAAGGCTCCAACACAAATGATTGTCACTCTAAATTTCATGCCAAGACACTAATTGACTGTGGAAATAAAATACGCTCCTATTTTCCACAATCCATAGATCAAAGTAAATAGAGGAAAAACTTGTTTTGTATTCACAGCCATGAATTGCGACAGCCTTCTTTAGTCCCTCTTTGTCCCTTTCCCCCCCCCCCCTCTCACCCAGGAGGCCCTGATCATGGCCAGCATGGAGCACCCCCACCTGGTGCGTCTGCTCGGCGTGTGCCTGAGCCCCACCATCCAGCTGGTCACGCAGCTCATGCCCCACGGCTGCCTCCTCGACTACGTGCACGAGCACAAGGACAACATCGGATCGCAGCTGCTACTCAACTGGTGTGTCCAAATCGCCAAGGTAAGCGGCTCGGTCACGAGTGGACGGCATCTGGCGCTTGGCAGGTGTGACGCTTGTACTAGATATTATGGGTTTGTGTTAATGTCATTGTGACTTTTTTTTTCTCCGAAGCCAGCATGTGGCGGATGGTTACATGAGGAGGCTCGCCAAACTCAGTGTCACCCCGAACAAGGTCCAAATTTGCAAAAACATGATATGACTGACGTTCCAAATTCCTATTTAAACAGCTTTCTAAACAGCTTGAACAATGTCCATGATCCCAGTGACTTCTCAGTTACGTGCACCAGGCTTTGTAGCATTGTAAGATATATGCCAAATGTGCGCCGGTTTACTGTTGTTGACTTGTTTTGAATCTCTTTCCAGTTCGCCCCTTATTATCATCACTATTTGACACGCTGATCATTTCCCCAACCCTTCACAATGACTTGAACTCAGTTTTAGAAGCACATCAACACGCATTATTCCTTTAGGGAATGAGTGACAGGGCAAGAAATTGACAAATTAAAAGCCCATTCTCCGAGACAGCAGTAAGGCTTGAAGTACTGTGTGTACCTTTGCTTAGCTACAGAGCATTTGTTTGCAAATGAAGTCGATGCAGCTTGGTAGTGTGACTATTGGGTGAGATTTGAAGTTATAACTCTGGGATGGCAGTAGGGTGCTAGGCTGCTATTACATGCTGGGCAGGCAGACATCTGCTGTGATACAGAAGCTTCCCCCAACATCAGCTCTGACAAGACAAACAACTGTTTATATTCTGCCAGTGGATTTTGTGCTCTCCAAATGTGCCAGTTGTATAATGAAGATGTGTGGTTCTATCCACTTAAGTTTCCTGTGCCTCAATGAAGCGCTTGTATAATACAAATATTCCACTGGTCAAGCCAAATGATCTTTGTCTACTGACAGAGCATCTGTGTTGCTTAACCGCAGGCCAAAATTCAAGACAAAATGATGGTAGAAAATCATATTAACAATTCAGGGATATTGCCAGTGTTACACATAGCTAACTGAAATGGAAGAGTGTGATCACAGTACTTGAAGTGACAAATCAAATGGAAATCAGCCATTGCTTTCCATCACAACAATATAATTGTCAAAGAAAGGGAAGTTGACGTGTGTTGGGAAATGTTTATTTTCATCAATCAAACCCTTTTTTATATTACTTTATCTCTAAGGACGCATTTATCTTAGGGTGATGCCATAAAAAAACAGTAAAATCATAAATGACATGTTTCATAAGTAACCCGCTTTGCCATTCTTCATATCATTTCCTCTTTCCAAAGGACTCCCCTGTCTGTCGGGCCTTTGGAGTCGATTCATATTGGTCATTGTTAAAGGCAATATTCTCTTTCACACGCTTGTTTCATTTATCTGAGTTTGGGATGAGAGCTCTGGTCTCACCGGGTTGTGGGTTAGTGTTGGAGGTCTTAACCCTTAATTCCCCCATGATGGATGATTCCCAAGAGCCGGAGCAGCAGGTTACTTAAGCAGGTACTTATTGCCGTAATTGGATTCGATTTCACCTGTAGCAGTGCAGGGGGGGGAGTGTCTTCTAGATGGGAGGAAGAGCTAGAGAGGAGATGATTCACAACTCTCTTCAAAACACACACTACATACATGCAACTGTGTATTATTTGATTCCAATAACTGTCATTTCTTGTTGTGTGTTGATGTAGAGCGTGCACGATGGTGCCGGACTGGTTTATTGGAAATCATTTTTTATCGAGTGGAATTGTGAATCAATTTGGTCCAATCCATATTGTTTCTTGTGTTCCTACTTTCCTCTGAATTACCTATCCTTTCCATTATTGCTTGCATTTCTGTCAATAATGGTTTGTGGTTGGAGACACACCAAATGGTCTCTAGCTATTCTGATATCCGAAGAGAATTTTAAATTGATAGAAATCTATGAAATCATGACTCTACTTCTCACTTGAGTTATTACCTGAGTGAACATGTTCCTCACGAGTTAATGGATTCAAGTCTTCCTCAATACAGCATGATGTTTATTTGTTAATCATTGTGCCATTTAGAGTCAAAAATATCAAGTAGTGTATGCTTTCGAGCGGGTTACCTTGTGATTGACAGGTTGCTTCCACTTCTGTTGTGGCAGTCTACGGTTTTAAGCGTTGTTATTGTTAACGGCAGAAAAAAGTTAAAACAAATTCATCATTATTATATTTTACAATTATAAAATGGTTACCGTTGGCTATTCCAATAATTCTAGAGTCAGGGGAAGAGAGTTAGACATTTAATGTATTTACAAAATCCCATAGATTGTGATGTGTTCATCTGGAGTCACCAACGTGCTCTCATTCTCCCCTCACACTTGATGCTAGCATGGCTAAAAACTAAGCTGAACCACATCAAACTGCTCATGGATCAAATCGAGTCAATTACATTCCCCTCTTGCTGATACAGGTGTGTGTTCCCAGTTGCAGCAGGGAGTCTATTTAACAGCATGTCATGGAGCTGATGTTAATCCCAGGTAGCGTGTTTGCTCTTTGTTTTATTAGCCTCTTGGATCCAACCCACAGGTCCTCAATCACAAAGCCCTGAGATATTTTTCAAGGCAGAAAAAGACAGACATTCTCTGCGCCGTGTTACTTTCCATTCATTTGTGCTTCTTTGTGTGTATTTGAGCACATGCCGAAGTGTGTTTGAGCATGTGAGGAGAATAAATAACTCTGAGACCTCTTCCCTGAGTGATCTTTGCACTCTCAAGGTAATGATGGGGAACCTGTCCTCCAGGTGAATCAGCATCCTTTGGAAAGGCACACCATTTTCTAGAAAAGGGTAGAACAATTTTCCCTTGGACTTCAGTTAGCTTTGAAAAGGGTATAGTTAAGACAGAGGACAGAAGACAGGAAGGGAGGAAGAGGAGTAAATAGCATAGAGAGGGATATAGAGGGGCCATAGGATACAGTTGATACATTCATCAAAGGCACCTTATTGTGTTCCTTATATTAAGAGTGCCAGTAGTAGAATTATTGGGTTATAACTTAATAACTTCATTATATCATATCCGCTGTTCAATATGAAGCTCTAGGCAGAAAACAGTTAGCTTAGCTTAACATAAAAATGGCAACATGGAGGAGAAGCATTTATTATAGCTTGGGATGCTTTTGTTATTACGTCTGGATATCTTTAACGGTGAGGGGGGAAATCAAACAAGTAGAAGAAAGATTCCATTCACTGAAACCGTCTCTTTGTCCTGACCTTTGCTTTCCATTATATTGTGAATGAAAGAATCGTTACTTTGCTGCTAATACTTGCACTCTTCCATAGCGAGACATGGTAAACCTTCTGATCGTGACCACACAGCATATCCCGAAGTGAATTAAAGAATGTCAACACAATTAATTCAGGATATGTAATTGAAGCAAGTGTAGCCTGATAATGTTTGACACAAAAAGGGAAATACCTACTTCTGAAATGTCTCCTATAGCTAAGGACTATTGCACAATGGAACGAGTGAATACCTCAAGACAGCGCCTAAATAGATTAAATGTACTGTTTCCCCATAATGTGGTGGCAATTTGCCATTTCCCCCCCAACCATCGCCACAACAACAGCACGAACAGCGCCCGTGTGTGGGTGCTGACCCGGGCAGGTGACCGCTGCGCCGCAAATTGATTGGCCGAGGCCTGTCGCCAGGCAGTGACTCTTCATCACTGAGTGTTTTGGGCATTGAGATAATGGCCCCCATTAATCTCCAGCCACACTCAGGGCTGCCCCGCTCTCACCGCCACACACACACAATGAGTGACGCTCGCACAACGGCGCACACATGCTTTAGCACACATTACACTGGACACACACAGAGGTCTCTTTAGATCTGTGTGAATGGCTTCTAATTTATTAGTCTCCATCATTCTTTTCCTTTTTTTCTACGTCCCTTTTTACTTCTTCCTGTTGGTGTCCTTTCCTTTATTTAGTTTCCTCATTGTCCTTTCTTCACCTCTCCTACAATCTTTATTTCCTATCCTTTCCTTTCTTTGCTTCATCTTTTATGTCTTCCTTCTCTTTCAAATCCTTTTCTTACTATTCGTCTACTGTCTACCCATTCAGCTTTATCCCTCTCTTGTCTTTCCTCTACTCGATTTTAAACATGTCTTTAAATCTGTCTATTCTCCGTTACCATGGTGGCCATGTGCTTGGGCTCACAAACGGCAAAGTTCACCCTAGATCTCCTTCCACATACCCTGAAGTGACCCTGTATGTGTTTGTGTGCAAATGTTTGTTCAGTTGTAGAACACTAGCTCTTTTTTTAATGACCCCGTTCTCGTATTTATGTCTCTGTCTGCATCTCCCTCTTGTCTCCATCTTCTCTTCATCACTCACTAACTGATTCTCTCGTTTTCCCCTTCTCTTTCTCACACTCGTCCTCTCACACACACATACACAGCATCTTTTTTTCATTAGGTTTTGGATTATTAATGGTATAATTAGGTTTGGGATGTATTTTAATGAACAAATCAATCACTGAATTAAATATGGGATCGGAACTGAGTGTATGCGAGGCTACGGGAGTCTTTTAATTTGGCTCTCATCTCCTCCAGTCTAACTTTCTCTCTCCCTCCGTCCTCCTCTCACAGTCTCTCCTCAGGCTCAGTATAATGGAAGTCGCTGTCCTGCCGGTGAAATGATTGTCTTTGGCAGTGAAGCCCCGGCTGGACATGGGTCTTGATTGGTTTGTGGGGGGATGGCGCCTTGATGGAGGCTTGAATCTAGGCCACATACTAACATTTTGTTGGTGAGCAGTGAAGGGGTCGGTATAAACACACCCACTGGCGAACGTTGGACTGACGTTAGAATCCCTCAAGTAGCACTCTTCAGTATTGGCACGGTTTTACAAATTCACCTCAGATCATTTCTCCAGCTCAATCCTGTACTATTTTGAAACATGTTTGGAAGCATGTGTGATGTCACCTATTAGTTTGTGGACTACAGTTACATCTTGGCCAGCGCCATATTGGTTTTTAGTCGTTGCAATTCTGTTT